ACCATTGTCTGCGCGTACAGGGTCCAATCCAAGTTCATCACCCAAACGATGCGCTAGGTCTGCGCATTCAAATCTTCGGCAACCACAACGATATTTGACTTCGTAGCCCAGCGTAATCGGGCAGTCAGGGGCGTCATGAAAGTTGTCCTCGATGGTGTCAGCTAGTCAGTTGGGGCGTACATGGATACGATCAGCAAACTATCGATTTCCCACCTGTGGAACTCCCTCACAGACGTTGCCGGTTGAACCGCAAAGAGGCGACTATCAAAGGATATCCATCCAACCAGTCAAGGATTTTTCCGCCCGGTGACTTAGCACGATGCTGATGCCTGCAAATCCTGCAGCAGCGGCCTCTGGATCGCCGGAGGTACACAGTCAGAAGCGAGTGGAGAGTATTGAGGCAGTGAGTTCAATTATTGTGCTCGCATCTTGAATTCCTGTTTCCGATACGAAGCACATAGCGACGTCAGGAGAGGTGTGAGAGCAACAGCACTTTATTATCCCGCTTGCTTCAGAGTACGAACAGACAGACCGCAGGTTCAGACTTGATTTCGGAGAGCCTGAGGCTGTAGACGCCGGATGAGGCGCAGATATCATGGCTAAGACCGACGCAAGACGAACAAGGTCGTCAGCCCAACGGATGGACCCACGAACAGAGATAATGGGGTGGGGGAGGAAAAAGCAAGGAAGCTTACCCGTCCTGCTGTATGCAACAAAGAAGGCAACCTGTTTAATGACACCACGCAACGGCCAATGTGGCATGACAGTACAGCTATAGGAATCACGGTTGTACGCTGGCTGGGACCATAATAGAGCTCCCAGACCCAGGCAAGACGAATAGGTTTCTCAACCAGTCTTTGGCTCAAAAGCCTGACCTCGTCGCTGCAGCGTTTGGCGGGAGATGCCAAGGCATTACATTGCTGAGGTACAAGTCGCCACACATATTCCAACCCCTAACTCAAAGGACCAGAGGACTGTGTTGGTCACATCCCTAACCATTCACCAACGTGGCATGTGAAACTGTATGAAACTCCCACTACAGTTTAGTGGGCCACGTAGACACAAGCAGCCACACGATGGTAAGATCGTCTCTTCGTGACGAGCAATCTCGACCGCAGAATTTGCGAGACATTTCTACATGGAACATCCCATTCGGAAAGTCCGCAACGCAGGCCAGTAGACAGTGGAAACTCGTGAAGTTTCGTGTTCATTCCAACAGCCTTTATGTATACGATAAAATTACCTATGATATCTTCACCTTTTGGTGTTCCGTGGCTTTTCACACGGTGTTTAGCTGCCAACACCGATAAATCTGGTTCACCGGAGAACTCCGTCAAGATCGAAAGCAAACACTTCAGGCCTACGGCTTACGTCTGAACGTTTCTTGTGACATATCAACAAATGGGTATGTCCTAGCTATGAAAAATCAGCGCTGTTTAATACTCTCTTGAAACAGGCCTGAGGCACCCAAGAACACTGATAATTCTGTACTACCTTTACCATCCGAAGTGAGGGTACCGCAGTAAACTGGCTGCCCAATCGCTGAAGGTATCTTGATTTATTGGATCCGACTGAATTTCAGAATCTGTACCAAAAAGGGTTACGGTGGCATTCAAGGCTTCAAGCTGAATTTCGGGTCAAAGCTGTTTTCGTCACCGATGCCTATGCTTCCAATCACCTGTAAGGTGACCCACGTTGTTCGGTCACTTGGGCTTCCATAGAAGGAACTCTTCCACGGTAGGTGATTTACTCACGCTCCATAGGTTATGTTGGTTAGGACATGTATTCCGCGGAGCACTTTCCGTCCAGCCTTGTGCTGAGTAGAACCAACCAAGAGGTGGACTTGGCAACCAGTAAACTGAGTCGGATCGACAACTGCTGTCTCCTTGGATAGGGATCCCGGGACTCTACTCACCAACGTTTATTAACACTGACAGAAACGACCCCATCGAGTAGTTAGAGGGGCGGAGGTCATGCATCCAAGCTATTGCCTTCAACGCGCAGTTACCCAATGAACATGCCATCGCCTCCAAGGCTTGGCTGTATGTCCCACACCCTTCCCGGTAATTGAAACTGTAGCAGCTGGAACCAATGTATTACACGGCATATAGCTAGGTGAGGAAGAGGTGTGGTGGAAGACTGGTGAGCTGCAAGGGTGGATGATACTTCCCGGAAGCCCAGGCCAAAGGAATGGGTTTGATTGAGATACCTCACCTGGAGCCTTTGCTTCAAAAGCCTGACCCACAATGTAGTGGAAGGATGTAAGGTTTTGTTCAGGGATCCTACCCTTAGTTTCTGACTCAGAATTGTGTCGCGAAGAAGCGGTGGCCAGGGTATTCTTGAAGGACCCTTCCAGGAGACATTGACACAATAGTCTGATCTACCGTGTTGCACTGGGCCGGCCTGGTCCCCTAACCGAATCGAATCGTTCAGCCGTAGCACTCTTTCGGTACCCAGCTGCCATGCCAACGGAGGGAGGATTGAGATACTATCTGGTTGCTCAAGCCTAGACAAGAGCAGTCGAGGTGCTGAGCTTGGGCTCGGACCAACTGCCAACCACGATGAAACAGGCCCTCTACGCGGACCCCATTGGATGTGGATGCAGGAAAATCCTGTCCGTATGACCTCGCATTGCTGAACGGGCATCCAGTGGTGGTAGAATAACGGTTTGCCCACAGGACGTCTTTCGGTAAGATAAGTAGTCCCAGAGGACGTCTCACTCGAACAGATTTCTGCTGTATCAAGGCGCGAAAGTGCACCTTTCCCCTAGTGGTAGGCTTCTATTACCGACATATGGGAACTGTCAACAGCTTGGATGAAACTGAACCTAGCCTGACGTCCCCGGAAGTTTCTTGAAAACAGAAATGATTACCAACAGTTATGTGTACCTTTCCTTCCCGAATGCACCAGCCGGTCGGGTTCTTGCCGTCGGTTTCTATCCAGGTCTCACTGCGTGCTGGAATGGGCAACTTGGATGCTTGACGCAGGATAAGGATAGGTCGTTCTCTCACTTCGTTGAGCACCGGTATGGTTCAAAATCTCACGGGATGCTAACCGTTTGTTGTAACTCTTACCGGACATGAAACCCAGTCAAAAATCCGCAACGGAACTGGACAGGTAGAAGAGCACGGGTAAAGTTGGCGTCATGCTACTAGAAAGACTAAATATTTCGCTTCAGAACGTTTCATGAACTTCCCGATGAACTCTAATCAGCAACGCCTAAGAGATGGATGGAACTTTTTGGCTGTTTGCATGGTAATGCTCTGACCGGATTGTCACCGATTTCGCTGTACATCCTTGCGAGTAAGCAATCTTGAATCTTGATCCACTGCTGTCCTAAGTACTACTGTGGTGCACGCTGTGCCGCGCATCATAGCTTCAAAGATCAAGCTCATGTAGATAATCTCTGCAAGTGCAAGTTGTAGACTGGGTAGTTGACAAGTGTAGGAGACTACGTTGGTGCCGGTGAGCGAAACTTCCTGTAGATGGACACACTGCATTGCATTATGGGCTAGTCCTAAACCACAAGCTTTATGTGGTCCAACTGACACTCAAGGTAACGTTGCCACCCTGCGATTTATTCTGTCCGAATTGAGGCGATAGACAAGTGGACGCAGTGTTAACTAAGACAAAGCTCTCGGATAAAGTAACGAAAGGTAACCATGTTGATGCACGCCAGTTTCACAGATGTGGGGTCATCGAATAGCTGGAGAACTTGGTGCTGTCCAACTGAGAAGCTGCATGTCTCAAAGAAAGCTGCTGAAAACACCACCAGCGGAATTAATGCGCGCAAGCGAGTCGAAGACGGTGGAATATTTGATCCGTAATAAAGTACCTGACTTCCGACCAAAAAAGCGCACTGGCAAACACTGGCTTAGGAAATGAACCGCACGGGCTCTGCACCAAACCGACCGACGTCATCGAATGAATCAGCTGATTCCAGTTTTATCCATGAGAGGCACAGCCAGGTACCGTTTCTCACCGCCCAACTGAAACCTATTATCACAATACCCTCGGAAGCGGTCATACATATCGGCTTGATGGGTCCACATCACCACCGGTATTATCAAGTTGATGATAATCGTTCGGTTGTAACACCCTTTCGGTGCCTAGCTGCTGTCATGAGCTGGTGTATTAATCAAATAAACGTTACTCGAAACAAACAATTTGATTCCAAATTGATCAAACCACTTCAAGAAACCTTTGGCTAAAAGCGTGCCTGGAAACAATCTCAGGTACATCACCAAGGGTGCTTAACTGAAGCTGTCGGTCATTGTTACGCCCCTTTGACACGTGGTGATTTTGATGGCGCCCTAAAGGACAAAAGTAATTATGAACTGGTAACCACTGACTGATGTATAGTTGAGGACAATTATACTACGAAAGCTGTGGGATACTTCCCGAGAAACCAGTTGTGGTCCAAACCGACTGTGCGAGTGTCCATTCAAGAACAGCCAAATCATACGTCAGGTAAACGGAACCTTGCTCAAGCTTCAAAACGTGCAGGTGGAGCCGCACATCCGAGTTACAAGCTCACTACAGGTTGACGGCGCGCGCCCTCGGATCCAACTACTCCCGCTTAAGCGGCAGACTATGGTGTCGTGATCCGTTGCATCAACGCGGCCGACCTACTCCGAACACCCGCCCTAAGGTGAGGTAAAAACTGCAACCCACGAAACACAATGTAGCCCTTTGTTTGCTGTTCTGCCAAAAAAAGAAGTCTGCTATCAGACAACTCCCACCTGAGAACGAGCCTCATCCGAATCACGATACAACACATGGATACATAGCCTCATCACGTATTCGAATGTCTTGCATCTGTTAAGGCAGAGTGTCTGATCGATCAACCGTCAACTCAGTGAGGTGTCGTATCACCCGTGGAATGAAAATTTCGAGCCGTGAAAAACACGTGACTTAGAAGGGTCAATAAAGTCGCAGTTTAAACCCGGTCCTTGACAGATGAACACGATTGCCAGTACCATTATGTATAAGAAGCGGACTCATTTGTGTAACAATATTCCATCAAACTTGCTCTGGAACCACTTCATCGCTTCTTCTTTGCTTATGTGATGGGATGCGCCGACCTTACTCTTGCACCGGCGTCTAAGGAGGGATTACATTACGGAAATCATGTACCTGTAGTTAACGCGTGAACCTGGCCTTCCGAGGATAACATAAAAGTCCATTCCATAAATTCCAATGGCTGGATCGTATTTGATTCCTAGATCGATGTGCTCAGTAAGACCGAAACCGAAATTCCCTCGGTCACTAAAGCACGATCTGGGCAACTCGTATTCCTTCACCTTCAGTCCTTTCTCGAGAATCTCTGAACCGGAGGATAAGCGAACATGTTTCAGTACCTTCTGCTTTTGGACCTCGAACAGTGCAATGCACAGCTATTTTTTCATTGCGCCGAATAGCGAAGGTTCGGATAGTCAATCTGGCTTTACTGAAAACGGGCTGTTGGCCAGTTAGCTGTTCCAAAACTTTGGCCGCTCGCGTGAGTCGATCGCCGCTCTCCCCCACGCAAATATTAAGACAGAGCTTCTGGATTTTTATCTCACGCATAGGGTTCGCGGACTTCTCCTTTTTCTCCTTCTTCTCTGCCTTTGACTTCACAACCATGCTTTGCAGTGAGTCCACGAGTTAGGCGCCTCAACTAACCTCGTGCCTTTAAACAACGGAGGGTCAGCCTAGTGTTCAGATCTCAGGGACATGAATGGTATATTATAAAATTGTCTAGATATGAGGATGGTAACCCCATCCACCCATCAGATTAACTGGTGGATAACTCGCATTTGTTAGTCAAGTACATCACGGGAAGGCGAAACCATTTGCGGTCTGCGACGTGGCGCGTGCTACGAATTCACATGGTTTATGGGCTTCTAGCGGACCCAGAAAAGCGACATGCCTCTTTGCGATCCGTTTTAGCCCGAAAAGAAGACCGGATTGTGTCGGCAGACACAAGAAGCTGATAGATGGCGTAAAATGGCGTTTTTGCCGAAGCTGGTTGGTTGGTAATGTGCCCAGGAGCACGCCGGGACGTGTTAAGAGTTCAAATATAAGATTTCAGGTTCAACCCGAAGTAGTTGGCGAGTCACCGGGCGTAAGGTCGGGCATTTTGAAACATTTCGTTTAATTGGGTTTGCCTGAGGTCAATCACCTCCTGAGTGGGAGACGCTGTGGGCAGTCTGTATCTGGTTTGCTTGAATATGCCAACGCCCGTTTCCTGGCCTGCGGTGACTAACGGGGATTTTTAGCCGCGGTCAAACTGAATGAAAAGAAGTCTTGCGGTATTTTATTGTTGTTCTTTTTTGTAGAATGGTAAGGTTTGGCTCTAAAGTGCACGCGGGTTGATCGTGAGCTGGTGGGCAAAGAGTTGCGCTGAAGGATTTAAGACGTTCTTGAGAATCGTCCGATCTTTTAGGCCTTGGAGTTTAAGCTTATACAGACTATGTTCAGTCGGTACTCGCGTGGTTTGTTTTTGGTTTTCTTGCAATTCTTTTGGCTCCGCGGGAATGGTTTCAGTGGGACCATATGCGTTTTAATCAGTGCGTGGGTGACTGTGGTTGACAGCCACATGCCCAAGGGACTGATTCTTAAAGCTTACAGTCTGTTAGTTACATTGAGTTCCAGGTTTCTACCAATATATCTCAGTATGATAGGTGCTATTATTTATCACCAGTCTAGTGCCATACTGTTCGTACAGAAGCCGATGTTGACGCGCGTCCCAAGATTCTTCTCACTTTTTTGGTAGTTGCGGGTTCTGTTGCAAGTTGGGGGTGGAATATGCATGCAATGGGCTTGTATGGCCACATGTTATAAAGCACGCAGAGTGTAAGAACGCTTTGGCCATTTTGCGGTTCGAGTTATTTTCAAGGTATGTTTCTACATTTTGACCGTTTAGGTCACTTAAATGAATTCGTAGGAAGTTGATAGAACTCTGTCTTCCAGGATATTGGAGATGTTGGCCCTCAAATAGTGGCAGATCCACAAACTGGAGGACCCACTACTGGAGATGTATCAGAAGTGTGCTACTGTACCAGTAACCACATAGTAATTGCCACGTGGGGGTAATGCGTTGCGGTCACGGTAGTGGGGTGACTAATGAGGAAAAGGGGTGCATGAAGGCAATTGATCAAACTCTATGCAACGCAAGTACCTCACCAGCTCATCTACACCGTTGAGAGTGAAGGACAATTAAGCTGAATGACGGCGGGATAAAACATTACAATGAATCACACGGGCGGTACGAAGTCAATCTGTCTGTCCAGTGCTAAAACCAGGAGGATCGTCCCAGTTGCAGCCCACAGCTTGGACATGTTTCACATACTGCCGTTCACACAGCCCCGACGGCTATGAGCATGAAGTAAATGAAAATAACCCAAACTTACTTCGAGTGAAGAGCTCTTATGAAGGTCCAGGAAAAACAGCGGCGAAAGCACATCAAAGAATAGTTCTGAAAACAGTCCGAGGTACGTTTTTCCACTCACTTTAGATCCTTTCTGACGCCGAGATTTTTGCCAACAGCAACCTCATCGTACTGAACACGCCGAATTCCTGTTGTTCAAATCATGAACCAGATTGAACGGAAATTTGGAAAATACGCGCTTCGAGATGTTTCAAGAGCCCCATATGGTATGGATCGTCTGAAGAGCAATACCGCCTCTTGGCACAATTCATAGCTAGTAATTTAGGCCGCGAAAAGCCACTGTCTTTGCCTTTGCAAATGGTGTGCGTGTATACAAGGAATTCCCTCAACCTCGAAAGTGTTCATATGGATTTGTTTTCCACGCCCTGTTAGCATGGAGCAGCCCGTCGGCTTCACATGGCTTCTTGTCTGATCCAACTAGAATTCTCCCCCATAGTTCTTTATTTATTCGTTTTCGTTTCGTTTCGTTTTCTTGGGTAAATGGAGCTTTGTGCGGGTCCACTTTGGGGCCATTAAACTCAAAGGCAGCTGGCTAAGCAACCTCAAAAGATTCGTCACCAGCCGGAATGTTATCGAAGTGAAGGCTTACGAAACCTGGTAAATCAAAGCAGAGACCGTGACCATTCGGCCTACAGCCCAAGGCCACGAGGCCCTAGTGACGGTTTCGGGCTTTAGTCCAAATTGGCCAACCATGTCTTGGCAGTTCAGCTGCCTCCCCAGATCCATTATTCTGGTTCCACACCTCCGCAGTTTGGAGATTATTTGTCACGTTCCATGCCTGAAGCTTTTTATTACGCCCTCACTGATATTGTTTTTGCCCGCCACTTTTAAATCCTAACGGCCAGATCCAGTGTCATCTGATATGTTCTCCACAGGAGATAAAGAGCCCTCGTAATTTTGGATCCTACCCATGCCATTGCAGGTGTGATGAAGTCTACTTCGTTAATGCTCGTTGTTTACGTCACCGTCCATTTTCCAGGAAAATTCCATTAATCACAACCCCTATCAGTCATGATCTTATTCTGACCGTAATACTATGATCATGCCTGACGGTATGCTACCCACTATTTGTGAGAAGTCAAACGACAAAAGAATAACCAGAGAACTAATCGACCGGAAGCTAGAAAGGTTAACAACAGCAGTAAGCTTTATTCAGTCGGTCATTAGTGTGGGAGAGAGGCACACCAAAAATAAGAATGGATCATATCAGTCACAATGAATAACCGAAATGACCGAATCCGGACATATCAGCAAACCAAACGGGTACACTGCGTTACTTGGTCCTCAGTTTAATCGGCCAAGCTTGGGGGAAGCGGAATCTCAGTCACCCAGTCACGATGATGTGACTAGTCAAAACAGTGTCATGAGGAAAGAGGGAATGGGCATACTCACCTGTGGAATGTGAACGGGGTCCAATCCTTAAAAACACCTCCAGTTCCTCTGAAACTGTCAGCTGAGCGGAAAAATCCTTAACATGAATATCAGCATTTGATGGCATTTATGCGAACCCTCATGATCTCCACATGCGGCTGCAGTTTCGTTGGAGGTCCACCATGGGCGCAAGATTCATATTTTAATGGCAGTCACGGTACAGTCAGCGCACGTCGTAATCGGGCGCGTGTACAAATCCGTAAATGAACACCTTGGGTGGGTGAGTTCGGGTAACCGTGATAGTCGGGACTGGACAAGGATCCGTAACAAATTAGGACGAGCGTGGATCAAGGAATATTTTGGCCCATCGGGGGCACTCACTGTTTCTTTATGCTATTCTGGTGGTGTTGAGAGTTTGTGCGGTGAGGTGAACACAGAATGGTGCAGTAAAAACCTAAAGGAAAGCAAGGAAGCTCTGTGAAACGAGTTGCTCATGATAGCCTACACAGCTCGTAGTCAGTAAGTGCTGGTAACAATTTCCTTTCCGATATCAATGATTTTTTGGATTCATGGGAAGATTGCCCGTAGTATATGACATAACCAGGACAGGTGCACAAGTCCGACGAAATTTGACCTCGTTTTAGTTTACTCTTTCCTGCATTACGGAATGCGGAATTTGAGTTTTAGCATCGTGCAGATGTAGTGGTAACTACCTTGTTCTTAAATCGACCTTTGCTTAATTTGTCCATTGCATCCGTCCACACTAGTTCACGCTGTTAGGCAGGAATCCACGCGGATCCCACTATACTGCACGTATTTAGGCGCTGCTACGGCCGATAAGCCTGGCCCACTCGAAGTTGGGTCAGAATTAGGGACGCTTGCCGGTCCGGCATCAAGACGAGATCTGATTGGTCAACAATCTGGACCCAACAGCCAATCATGACCCAGTTTTGGCCAAATGCCGGTTGCCAATGGCGCATCCAGAACGCGTCAGAAATTCCAGCAAGTTGTAGCCGCTTACTCTATATATACGAAGCGCTGTACAACTGTTATTGACTTCGCTTTGGGCATTAATAGACCTTGTGCACCTTTGGTGGCTGTTTTGACGTGAACGCTAGCTTGGGAGGCTCAAACCGAGAACTAAGCCGGGGAAAATACCGTTACAGCACGCTAATCTTTCGTTCCGGAAACCCTAAATTCGCGTGACCAAACCCTGTCCGGCAGCAACGCAGACCGACAAGTCAGTTCTCGTCTTGGACGTGTTGGAACAATTATGTATTTTACACACGTCGGCTACCATATATAGGAAAAAACAGCACAGTTAACGTACGTAAGCACGCGTGCACGGGTCAGGAAATCAACTAAACTCCACGAGTCCATGGAAAACTATGGAACATGTTTAGCGGCTACAGTGTAGAAAAAACGCATTTATCTGTCCGAACATATACCAAGGAACTCCCACATGCCATAAGTTCTTCTTTTGACTTGCACCAACGTTCTAATTGCTTTTATGTAGTGCATGATGCGAGTCACCACTGTGAACCACTGTGAACCATGGGCAAAATTGTTATTGGTGCATACGCCTTCTGAGTTCTATTATGGCTATCATGATCTGTGCACCAATAGAGAAATCCCCTTTGGTAGGCTGCATCTATTTGATGTGAGAGTTTTTATTGCATTGTTGGAGAGATGAGGTGCGAAAGGGGCCGCTATGGTACGAAAAACTCAGCGGACGTTTATGGCTTGCACGCTCTGTCAGGAGCTTAAACAACAACATACATAAAAACTCCATGTTAGCACTCCTGAATTTGCGAGGCGCATG